GACTGTCTTGAGTTTACTTATTGTCATTTCTTCCCATCTGTCATTCAGTTTAATAATGACTGGTTTTGTTTGATCACTAGTGGTTGGTGAGGCTGCTGCTGGTAATGATGATAATTTCTCTTTGATTGTTGATCGTATGTGCTTCAATTGTGATGATTCTGAGAATGTATCAATACTTTCAATGTATTGAGTTAGTTCAGTTTGTGCAGTTGAAAGGTAAGTGTCTGTCAAGTGTTGAAGTACACCGCCACAACTGAAGAAGTCATAATGAGGCTGAAGAGAATCAAATAGTTCATCAACGTTGCCATATTTTAAACTGGATACTTGAATGCTTAAATAAGCTGCTGCACTCCTAGCTACAGCTTTAAGCTTCACTTTACCCTTTTCCACCAGCTCCTCAAACTCATCTCTTATATTAGAATCAAGAGATGCAAAACAAGAATGAAGACTTTTAATATTGGCAGCAACTTCACTCTTTGAACTGAGCTCAATGACAGTAGTAGCAGTAGATGATTGTGATCCAGTGATTATTGGCTGTGGTGTGTGAGATTGTGCAGTGACATCCACTGGTTGAAGTGGTCCCTTACTGACTGATGGTTGCTGCTTTAGATTAGGATCAACATGACCACCTTTCATTTCTATTGTTAAAAAAAATAAAAAATAGGGGTATAAATTATTGAATCTTACTTAATTTTTTCATTAGCTTAGATGCCATGCTCTTTAGTCCCACTTTCTGTAGTGAAGTAATAAGAGAAGGGAACACACTGTTAGGATTAGGATGACACTCAAGTGTTGCTAGTACTGAAGAGAGTATTTTATTAGCTCTATCATAAGGAGTGAGTCCTGCAGTACTTTCAACAGTAACATGTACTGCTTTAGGAATGAGATCAGATGAAAAGAGATGATTATTTAACTGAGAAATAACTGGAGCATTTCCTGCCAACAGATCGATAAGATCAGCTAACATCTCTTTCATTGTAATATATTCTGGTGACATTGATCCTTCCATTGGTTTGAATGATGACAGATTTTTAGTTATTGATGGCCAGTGTGGTTTAGGTGCTATTGGAGGAGGTTGTGCAGTTCGACATGGTTTAGGTGCTATTGGTGGAGGTTGTGTAGGTAGTGATGATCGACGTGGTTTTTCTGCTGATGACAATAGTTGAAATCGTCCACTTTGTGATAATGATCTTGGTTTAGGTGCTACTGGGGGAGGAGACTTTAGTGTCTTTTTTTGAGATAAACCTAGTAATACTAATTGCTAATTATTGCTTGAATTTTTACAGTAATTGTGTTAGCTATTATTAATAAATTTTTGTACATTTATACCGGCCTTTTATTTTTCCAGTAGCTACTCTCATTCTCATTTTCTATCTCTCTCCCTCTCTCTCTCTCTCTTTTCATAGTCCTTGGTCCATTATGCCAGCTAGTCAACTTCAAAGCACAAGCTAATGTAAGCATATACCATATACCTGTATCTGGTAATTATACTATATCCCAACTGAGTTTGACAACAGCCGCTTGGAATTTGAAATATGTAGCCATACATCAGTAATGATGTCTTATAATGATATTCATAGAAGCATGGCTGATATTTTGCAGCTGTATGGTTGGCCTGTATTTCACTCTTAAATGGGTTTTGTTTGTTCTGATAAGCAGTACAATAGCTGCTGGAGTCAACTAGTCTTCATAAAGGCCATCATTATCAAAAGATCTTGCTCTGTTAGCTTTTTAAAAGAAGAATTATCAGTTTGGGCAAATGACTACATGTTCTCATGATGTAAACTATGACATAGACAAATTGTCATAAATCATCATTTTGGTATGCCATTGGGTTTATAGGGAGAACCCGGTTCTCAGGGCTCCCAAGGGCTGAGAGACCCAAGACCTGATATCCTGTGATGGCATTGGGCGACTAAGAACCTGTGAAAGTTTCATCCTTATCCCACATTCCTATAAAAAGTTATTTCAGTTTTTCTTGGGTCAGACTCAGTTGGGATATAGTATAATATCTGTTTTGAATTTTTGCATTTAAATGATATCTCTCTCTTTTCATTCTTTCTTTTTCTTTAGAGCTGAAGATTCTATATGATAACTTACAATTATAGTGACTATGATTTTTGGTAATTTTTATTGTGTTTTTGTGACTTTTTTTATAAAGTTTTATTGTCAAACTCAATCACTGGTACTTCTATT